TTCATTCATTATACAACTTTCAGAGAAGTGCAAAACAATCAAAGCACCATGTCTGAAGGGCTTGCTAGGGTAATATGTCAGAGAAGGAAATAAAATGCAAAGAGACAGTTAAACTGCCACTCTATGCAAATTATATGATAAAATCCCAAGGACTTGACAAAAACAAAAAAATGTTAGAGCTAGTAGACCAATTTAGTAGAGTGGCAGGATATAAAATCAATATCCAAAATTCCTCTACAGTAACAGAGAGAACTCAGAGAAGGAAACCAAGAAAATAATACCATTTACAATAGCCAACCACAAATTGAGATACTTGAGAGTGAACCTAATTAGAGACACAAAAGACATATAACAAAGAAAACTACAGAACATTTCTGTGAGGTACAATAAAAGATCTAAATAAATGGGAAAATGTGCCTTGTTCATAGATAGGAAGACTCAGTATTGTGAAAATGACAGTCTTCCAAAGGCAATCTACATGTTCAAGGCAATCCCAATACAGATTTTAAATTCATTTTTCAAGAAGATCGAAAGGGACATTATCAAGTTTATTTGAAAAGGAAACAGACTCAGAATAAGCAAAGCACTTCTGAAAAAGAAAAATTAAGTGAGAGGCATAGCACTCCTTGACCTCAAAACCTATTACACAGTGGTAGTAACCAAAACAGCATGGGACTGGTACAATGACAGGCACATAGACCAAGGGAACAGAATTGAGAGCCCAGAAGTGGATCCAGCTATCTATTGCTAACGGATATTTGACAAGGAAATAAAACCAATCAAATGGGGAAATAACAACCTCTTCAACTAACGGTGCTGCTACCTGCAGAAAGCTGAAACCCACACCTCACACTATACATAAAAATCAACGCAAGGTGGATCAGAGACCTGGGATTAAAGCCCAAAAATATAAAGTTCATCAGAGACAAATTGGGGTCAAGCTTAGAAGGCCTGGTCTACTGTATAAAGAGACTGGTAAACACAGGCAGAAATGCACAATCTGGAGAGGATAAAATTGATGAATGAAACCTTCTAAAGATTAAGTCCTTGTGTACATCAAAAACTTTTTCCATAGGATGAAAAGACAATCGGCTGATTGAGAAAAAACAGTTTTAGACAAGGGTCTCATATCAAAAGTTTATAGAATCCTACAGGACTTCCACAAAGTAAAGACTGGTAACCCAATTACAAAATAGCAAAGAGACATGGAGAAAATTTTCACAGAGGAAGACATTCGGATAGCCAACAGACACATGAAGAAATGCTCAAAATCACTGACAACACAAGAGATGTAAATAAAAACCACAATGAAATACAATCTTACCCCAGTAGCAGTGGCAAAATTTAGCAAGGCTTCAGTTAATAAATGTTGGAGAGGATGGGGAGAAATACGAATTCATACACTGTTGGTGGGATTATAAAGTGGTACAACCACTCTGGAAGGCATTTGGGGTTTCCTCAGAAAGCTGAATATTAGAAATTCCATATGATTCAGCTATTCCACAGCTATACCCCGAGAAAATGAGAACCAAGGCACAGAGACTTGTACACCAGTGTTCACAGAAGTGTTAGTCACCATTACAAAAACATCAAAACAGCCCAGATGTCCAACAACAATCAAATAAATTGAGAAATTACGGTACATTCACACTATGAAATACTACACAGCACTCGGGAGCAATGATTTTTGTGAGTCACTACCTAACTTGGGAGGACTGGAGAGCATTATGCTAAGTGAAGTAATTCAGTCACATAAGGACAAATGTGGTATGACCATTATTATTACAAGGATCTAAGGGGAAGAGGATGGGAGCAGAGGGGTGAGGAAAAGCGGGAGAAGAGAAGGTTGGTGGTTAATCATAGGGTCACACAATTTGATGGGTGGCGGGAGAACTGGGTAAAGGAAATGGGAAAGACAGTGTGAAAAACAGTGTGTATGAACTTTGTAAGTAAACCAGTATAAAATGTTGTTGTTATGACTATTATGAGTTGCCTGTGACTCATAACGACCCTGTGTACAAAAGCTCTGAATCCTGTTCGATCCTGTGTCATTCTCATTGTCTCTGACACACCTACCCCCATTATTCCAGCTACTCTCATCAAAGGTCTTCCTCTCCTGCACTGTCCCTCCACCCTCCCAAGCATGACATCCCTCTCCAAGGACTGGTCCCTCTTTGCAACATGTCCAAAGTATGTCAGACAAAACTTAGGAATCCTTGCCTCCAAGGAGCAGCTTGGTTTCCCCCTCTCCAGGATGAACGTGTTTGTTCTCTTAGCAGTCCATGGTATATTCAGTACTCTTCTCCAACACCACAGCTCAAAGGCATCAGTATCATCCCTACTCATTGTCCAGCTCTCTGATGCATAGCATGTAATTGCAAAGACCATGGCCTGGACCAGGCACACCTTAGTCTCTAGACTGACATTATTGCTTTTCAGTACTTTGGAGAGGCCTCTGACAGCAGACTTTCCCAATACAATATGTCTGTTAATTTCCTGGCAGCTGGTGCCAAGAGTCTGCAAGAGACTGTGGAGCCAAGCAAACTAAAGCTGTTAGCAATCTCAATCTCTTCACCATCTATAAAACTTTTACTTTCAATTAAAACAAGCAAAAACCCCACCATGTCTTAAGTCAGATGCACTTTGGTTCATGGTTCTTACATAAGAACCCGGGTACCTAAGGGCACATTTCTTTAAAATCCCAATATGGTTCTCCTACTTAAGGAGAAGTTGATTAAAGCCTTATTTAAAACAGAGATTCAAAGGTTGGTAGGCCATCACAGCTTTGCTTCTCTTGGCTGTGTGACTTTCTCTGAACCACTCTACCTCTCTGGACAGCTATACAGTGGGTCTAGTGACAACAGGTGTTGTGAGGAAGGCATAACAGCCTATGGTTAGAAAACATCCAAAGTTAAAGAAAATTTTCTCAGTGAGTTAAAAAACACCAGGTTCACTGTGTTGACTCCTTTTCGTGGTGACCCCCATGGTCAGAGCAGAGCTGCACTTTGTAAGGGTTTGGTGGTTTTTTTAAAAAAAATAGTTGTTCAGTATTTTCTATGAAACTTTCAATTGTTGCAACATTTCACAGCACAGTTTTTTGATGGGTTTTTTGTTTTTCATTTTAAATGAACATTTACAGAGATTTTAGATTTCCTTTCATTCATTGTTGCATTTTTCTCCCTGTCCCCCCTCAACCCCCCCCCCGTTCACTCTTCTCTTTGAAAAGTAAAAGAAAAATTCCTTCATTGATATACAATACCCCACCCCCACTATGCAGCCTTCATTCTGGACTCTTGTCATAACCATAATACGCAATCATATATCCCTATTAAAAAGTTCTCTCCCTCATCTGTTTCAATGCAGTATACATAATTTATCCAAGTTTTCTCAGTGTTACCCCAACCCTGATGTCAGTCCCATTCTACAACAGTGGCACTATGAAGTATTTGTCCTTTTGTGACTGAGATATTTCATTCAGCATAATGTCCTCCAGGACCACCCATTCTTAATAATATTGCATGAGTTCCTTGTTTTTCAATGCAGTGTAGTATTCCATTGTGTGAATATACCACAGCTTCTCTATCCATTCGTTTGTTGATGGGCACTTAGGTTATTTCCAACTCTTTGCTGTTGTACACAGCCGCAATAAACATGAGTGTGCATATATCTGTCCGCCTGTTGTGTTGGTTTTTTTTAGTAGCTGATTTGTCCAGAGTACAACTCCATGTCCTTCTCCCAAGATACTCCTGGTGAACTCGAACTTCCAGCCTTTCCCCTAGCAGCCAGCAACGTTGAGTCTGCAGGCTGGCATTTGGCCACTGCTCCAATTAAGCATTAAATCCAAATGTCCCTGTTCCCAAGACTCAAGTGTCCTGCCCTCCCTCCCAGCCTCTGTCTGACCCTTCCCTTCCCCATATTGACTGAACGTCCACCTCACAGTTGAACTGAGACATCTCTAATCACAAGACCTTACTGCTCCCTGGGATGGGGTTTAGCTGCTCAGACAGCTGCAAAATGGAATTATGTCTGCAAATTAGTTTGCAAGAAATAATCAGCATTTCACAGTGTTTCCCTAGGAGCCATGTGAGCACTTGGTCGATTCCAGAGCCTTCCTGGGCCCTCCGGATGGAGGGGTCATGAGATTCACCTCCTCCCAGTCAGTCCCATGAGGAGAAGACAGAATAAGGGACACCTAAGACAGGGGTGGTCATTTCACACCTGGGCTTCCTCACTTCACTGTCGGCCCCATGGGGCTGTGATACTGCAGTTCCTGAAATGGCTCGAGCACAGAGCGCTAGCGTCCTGAACGTCGTCATGGTGCCCCCCAACAGAGTGATGTTAACCGAGGGCCTCAGCCTCAGAGAGGTTCGGCACCCCCACAGTCCCTGTGAACCTTTGTCCCATCCATTCTCTTTTCCCTACCTACCTTTCCCTTCACTGGTGGTGTTACATGGGCTGATGCTCCATCCAAGCCTCTTCCTCCAGGACCCCCCTCGACTTCTCATCTAGCTGTCCACCCTCACAGAGGACGCTCATTTGTATTATGCCCCAAGCATCACATTATGCATTCCCCGTGATGCTTGGTTTAAGAGGGTCTCTGGTACTACCAACAGTCTGCCTTCAAGTGATGATTGAGAACTTGCTGAAAGGGTTGGTGGTTCAAATTCACCAAAGGGCTTTGCAGAAGGAAGGCCGGATAATCTACTCCAATAAAGAGTAGAGTCAGGAATACCCTGTGGGATTCTGTAAACTTTTGTTGTAAGTTTGAGAAGTGATTATCACGTCAAAAGCAATGGTCCTTCTGGGATCTTCCTCTTTCATTGTCCAGCTGTCCCCCACCCTGTCTAAGCCATTGGCCATTAGAACTCAGAGCCCTTTCATTTCCCCATGTTCCTTCTCAGCTGAGAGTCCAGCTGGTTGTCCCTCCCCAGGCCCCCCCCCCAAGGGTAGTCTTCACAGACTGCAGCACACCATGGTGTTCTCTGTCCTGTCTTTGACAGCTCCAGAGGTGTTCCAGGTGTATGTGGACGGAGGCCCTGGATACTCGTATCCTGTTGATTGGTGGTCCCTGGGAGTCACCGCCTACGAGCTCCTGCGGGGCTGGGTAAGATTACACACAAGGGTCGTGGAATCTGGTGTTCACAGAGCACCAGATTTGGGGGGGGATTGGTAGGTGTACCCTGGAACAACATGCAAAGCTGAGAAGAACTGAGTGGGAAGTCTCCTCCCAGGCTTTTGATTAAAAGCCAGGCCAGCTCCACGGTCCCTGACCACTACAGTGGACCTTGTGGTTGTGTGTACCATTGACTCAGAACCGACTCATAGTTGACCTTCCAGCAGGTTTTTAGAGGCAGTAAATGGTTCATGGAGCAGCTGGTGGATTTGAACTGCATGCTCTTGGATTAGCAGCACAGCTTCTTATCCACCAGGCCAGAGGGACCTTGTTGTTGTGCATACTACATTGAAACAGATGAGGGAGAAAACTGTCTAAAAGGGCTATGTGATTAAGTATTATTGTCATGACGGGAGTCCAGAACGAAGGCTGCATAGTGAAGTGGACCTGGGGGAGGGATAGTATAATAATGAAAGAATTTTCCTTTTACTTTTCAAAGAGAAGAGCAAATTGGCGGGAGGGAGGGGTCGGCAGGGAGAAAAGTGCAACAATGAATGAATGGAAATCCAAAGTCTATGTAAACTTGCATTAAAATTAAGAATAATAAAATTTTTTTTAAAAAAAAAAGAACTGACCCATAGCTGAGCTTCCAGCAGGTTTTCGGAGGCGGTAAATCACACAGGAGGAGATTGCCCATCCTTCTTCCGTGGAGCAGCTGGTAGATTTGAACCATGTGTTTTGATGATTGCAGTGCAGTTTCTTACCCCTACGCCATCAAAGCTTCCTTAGCAATCATTTACTCTAATCACCAACCCATTTTATAGATAGGAAAACTAAGGGCTAGAGAAAAGGGACTTGTGGAAAGGCCAACACCCAAAGCACCTTGGCCTCCTCTGGTGTAGTAGTAGGTCTTGCTGTAAAGTTAGGCTTGCCTAGACTATTGTCTTTGAGCTGATTGAGCTGTCCCTGCTGGAAAGGCATGGCCCAGTCAGAGCCCTTAGTTACCCTGGGGCGTGGTCTCTATCCCAGGCGGCCTGTAAAGGATCTCACACCTGGAACTCTCTGGCTGTTTTCAGTGGCTGCCCTGGGATAGCTCCATTATCAACAACTGCTTGATCTTCTCAGGACCTTCTGGATTGCAAAGCCCAAAGAAACCCAGACTGGAGGTCAGGAGCAATTGGAGGAACAGTATGATGTTAGAGTGATCGGGTAGTTTAATATATTAAACATTGGGGGCCTTTTTGACCCCCGTGTTTTGATGACAGATTTGATACTGATGTTGTTGGTACAAGTCGTGATTGTACCTCCTCATTTCAAATTTCTCATTCTATCCACAAAGAATGAAGATGGCATAGTATGTAATCTATTGGGCTGGTGACGAAAAGGTTGGTAGTTTGAATTCATTAGCCACTCTGCGGAAAAAGAAAGGCAGGTTCCTCTTGACACGATGTGCAGCCTTGAGAAGTAGATGATTGGTCGTTGTAATCGGATTTGACAAGATGGCCATGAGTGATGTTGAGTCTGAGTACCCACAAGGATATGCGTTAGTGTCGGATTTTCTATATGGGATTTTAAGCTCTTTAAAGATAAAGTCTAACCCTAACCCTAACCCTAACTCTAACCCTAGACAAAGACCTACATCTAGCCCTAACCCTAACCCTAATCCTATCCCTAACCCTAGACGAAGACCTAGGTCACACCTAGCCCTAGCCCTAGCCCTGATCCTAGCCTTAACCCTAACTCTAATCCTAATCCTAACACGAGTCGAAGACCTAGGTCTAGACCTAGCCCTAACCCTATAGAAAAAAAAATATATAAAGTCTTTGCTAACATTTCCTTTTAAAAAAACCATATCTTCCCATAACGCCCCCCCAAAAAAAGATTCATTCTATGCTTTTGTTTTATTTCATTTAAATTTGATCACTGAAGGTGACTGATGGAGCTCTTTGACAATTAGAAGCTCAGAGGTTTATTTAATTAAAAAAGAATGAGGATTACGACTCACCCTGACGCAGGGGTCCTTCACACAGATAGACCTTGAAATGATAGCCTGAAGCCCCCATGACCTTGGTTTCTCAACAATGTCATTTCAGTCTCAGTATCAACAGATGTCTGTAGCATGACATTTGATAGTGGTAGTTCAGTGGTCCAATTCTCACCATTCGTGTGAGAGACGTGGGTTTGATTCCCACCCAGTGCCCTTCACTTACAGCCATGACCCAAGTCAGTGGAGGAATGCATGTTGCCGTGAGCTCTAGTGGTCTAGTGCGTAAGGAGTTGGCTACCAACTCAAAGGCAAGTGGTTCGAATACTGCAGCTACTTTGAGAAAGAAATACAGGCATTCTCTCCCTACACAATTAAAGAGTCTCTGGAAGCCCATTAGAAGGTCAGCCATGAGTCACTTTTGGCTCAGTGGCAGAGAGAGAGAGAGCACGCACACAAGAAAGTGAGAGAGAGAGAGAGAGAGAGATATGAACAGATTTCAGCAGAGCTTCCAGACTAAGATAGGGAAGGAAGATGTCCTTCTTAACACCAGCCCATGAGAAGTCTACAGATCATGATGGTCTGACCTAAAACTGAAATGGGAATGGCGCAGGACTGAACAGGGTCTCATCTCACGTGCATGGAGTCATTACAAACCAACATAACATGTTAATAAAATAGCCCTAATGCTTGCTGAGACAAAGATTCTCACCACTAAGACAAAGATTCTCACCACTGGGCCAATTGGCAGCGCCATGATAGAGAAGAGATTGAGGTTATTAACACTTAACAGCTTGCTGGGCTCGGCGATCAACACTCATGGCACCAGCAATCAGGAAATCCAAAGACAAATTGCATCAGGGAAGTCTGTCGGGGAACTCCCCAAAAGTGCTAAAAAGCACGACGTCAGTCTGGAGATTATTAAGATGCACCTAATTCAGGCCATGGTCTTTGCAATTACTTACTATGCATCAGAAAGCCGGATAATGACTAGAGAAGACAGAAGAAGAATTGATGCCTTTGAGTTGTGGTGCTGGAGAAGAGTATTGAACATGCATCACCAAGAGAACAAACACATCTTAGGGTGAAACAAAGCTGCTCCTTGAAGGCAGGAATTCTGGAGCTCCATTTCACACACTTTGGACACGTGGCCAGGAGGGACCAGTTTCTGGAATAAGGTGTCATGCTTGCAAGGGTCAAGGGACAGGGCAAGGCGAGGAAGACCCCAGATGAGATGGATTGGCACAGGAACTGGGGTAGTGGGACTAGGTGCATCAGAGATAGTGAGACTGGCTCAGGATAGGGCAAGTTTCAGAGGCCTTGAACATAGGGTTGCTGTGAGTCACAGGTGAGTCAGTGGCACATAACAGCAACAACAATACTCTGTGAAAGGGAGGAAGACCTGAAGTGCTTGCTGCAGAAGACCAAGGACTACCAGCCTTCAATGTGGATTACATCCCAACATAAAGAAAAAGAGAAAAAAAAAGTCCTCGCCACTGGGTTAACAGGCAGCATCATGACAGATGGAGAAAAGATTGGAATTGTTAATGATTTCATCTTGCCTGGATCAGTAATCAGCAGCCTTGGTCCCCCAGTCAGTAGATCAGGTGGTGTAGTGCATTGGACAAGCCCACTGTCAGGGACCTCTCCAAAATACTGAAGAACATTTATGGCAGTGTGAAGACTCAAGTGCACCTGATTCAGACCAGGGTCTTTTCCATCACTTGCTGTGCACCTGAAAGCTGGACAATGAATAAGGATTACACAAGGGGAAATGGTGCCTTTAAGTTGTGGTGTTGGAGAAGAATGCGGACTATCCCGTAGACTACCAGAAGAATGAGCAGGTATGGTTTAGAGAAGGTGCAGCCAGAGTGTGTGTTAGAGACAAAGATGGTGAAGCTTCATCTCTCATACTTTGAACACGTTGCTACGAGAGGCTGACCCTTGGGAAAGGGACAACGTGCTTGGAAGGGTCGAGCGTCAGCAAAAGATAGGAAGACTCTCAGTAAGACTGACCGATACGGTGACTGCAGCAGTGGGCTCAACTTGTCAGAGCTGATGGGATGGCACAGGAGAGGATAGATGTCAGGTTTGTTGTTCTTAGCGTCACTATTCAGCTTCATGGCACCTACGACCAACAACGAGGTCATAGAATACTGGTTCCCCTGAAGTGTGGGAGATGTGATCTTTGTGTTACTTTTTAGCTACAATAGTGCTGGACCCAGCCTTGCAGAGAGCATTGCCCTGCTCGTAGGAATCATAACAGTGCATCGTGGTCACTGGGCAGTAAGACACAAGCTCCTTTTAGGCCAGGAATGTGTGTAACACATTCATTGTCAGCCCCTGTTGGCATGGCACAGAACTATTACTGGATTATTATATACCCAGAGTGAGTGAACAAAACCCATTTTTGAAATGCCGAGGCAATGTGAGTGCAAGTAACCATGGTTACTTACCACCCAGCCAGGCAAGCAACTCTTTTCTACCCTTGGTCTCAATGATTTCCCTCTAATTTCTAAAATCCTAATTCTTTTACATTGCATTTTCAGAATGAACATAAAATATGAACACTTGGAGGATGGTACAGTTTCAGGCAGGGTTTCATTCTCTTGTGCGTGTTGTTGTTGCTGTATTATGCTAAGTGAACTAACTCAGGTCCGTAAGGACAAATACTGTATAAGACCATGATTGTAGAAATAGATAACTAATAAAATGTCTATCAGGATCCAGAGACAGGGAAGGTAGGATCAGAGGGGTGAGGATGGGAAGGAGGGTAATCTCAGAGTTGCACAATTTCACAAGGTAGAAAGAGGGGAGGGTAAAGGAAATGAGAGAGATCCTGTATGAAAAACAATGTATACAAACTTTGTAAGTAAATGGGTATAAAATAAAAATTTCATTTAAGAAAGACAATCCTTATGATAGGGTATTACGGTTATCACAAGAGTCCACAATTAAGGTTGCATAGTGGAATGTACTTGGGGCGGTGGGAGGGGTGCAGGGGGAC